CTAGCACGCCAACCGAGAGGGTCGCGCGTTTCCAGCTAGTGAAGCCTGGCATGGCGTGGCCCGGCTTGGTCTAGTCTGGTCTGAACTGCTCTGCTCTGGCTGGGGCAATACCAAGCTGATTGGATCTACACAGTCTGTAGTTAAAGGGTGTGTGTGTGTGTGTGTGTTGTGTTATGCGAATTCAATTTTGGTAATGGCTGTTGGAATTTATTTTTGTTTTCCGAAATCAATTAAGTCCTTTAAATTGTTTGCATTGTGTTTAAAGTTTTACAGGAAATTGTTGGGAGCATCGATAAATAATACTTAGAAAATATAACTTTAAATCTTACTGTGAAGCTGATTAGTAGAAACTTAAGTCTTCGCCCGCACAAGCCCCATTTGCCAACTGCAAAACTCTCGAAATTTGTAAGCGAATTTCCCAAAGATGTTCTTAACATCAAAAAGATATATTTGCTTGAAAATATAAAACACAATCGAACTATTATTATCTTATCAAACCTTTTGCCTTCAATTTTTTTTGTCACTCCATAAATATCTCGAAATGGGCGGGTCAATATCTGAAATCGTTTTATTACCAACATCATTGACAATTTGCCACCCAAAGGGGTCAGAACTTTTATTGCCTGGCAAAAACTTTTTATATTGGCAATTTCTGCAGAGCATTCGCCAACTTTAAGGTCTGATGTGCTTGAGAAATATGCCTCAATTTTTTGCAATTGTGAGTTAGCTAATTATATAGCTTTTACTTTAGCACCAGATGCTTAAAGATTTATGACTCGCCAGAGCAATTTAATAAATCTAGGCATATTTCAATATCTATACCCTGGGTGGTGCAGGCCGCTTGCCACCGCACCACCGCCCTGTGAATTATACACAGATTTGTCGCGCTTCTTGCTATCTGCAGGCAGAGAGCAGAATATTCCGACACACTTTAGCATATCAACAAATACGCTCATATGTCTTTGTGGTGGTAAACAGCCGCCTTGCCCCGTCCTTCGCCCGCAGCCTACCACTTGAGGCTTTTGCAAAGGGTCTGCTACTTGGCTTTCTTTTGGCATTTTGCTTTTTCCTTAGCTTTGGCACATAAATCATTATTCGTCGCTGCGTTTATTTTGACTCTGGCAGCTCAAACACTTGAGTGTGTGTGAGTGCATCTGTGTGTGTGTCAAGCGTCGAGACATGGCCATTATACCATTTTAATGTCTGTTTAAATTGTCTTTAAAATTATGTTCTATTTCGGTAAGAACTTAAATAATTATGAACAATTAAAGATGAGTATTCCCCTATTTATATACCCTTTCTCACCCAAACTTTCCCTTTATTCTTTTTTATCACAATCTCAAGCTACATTTAGGCTACATTTAATTAATATATTTTATAAATCACTGGCAACCACCGAGCTGCTCATCCTTGGGGACCTGCTTCCAGTTTACAACTTTTGCTGCCGGACATTGCTGGACATTTGCTAAATGACTACAACACTTAGGCCAAGATTTATAATAGCCAAGTTGTTGTTTACTTTTGACTGCACACACACATACACACACACACACCCGCACCCAGAGTTTATTTAAAAGGGGATCTCGCAATGTGCACACTTCATTTAGCCACGTGCCTTTTTGGCTTGAACCGGTCGCAGCCCCCATTGGCTAACCGAAATTACGAGCGTTGATTAGTTTGCTTAGCCTGGCTAAAAAATGTGGCCACACCGAGTTTTGAACATGGTCAAAAGCGTTACAAAAAAGAGGGCAAGAGTTATTTGTAATAAATTTAAGTGTTATGCTCGGACCCGGTTCGTGCCCCAAACGGCAAAAAGGTAACACCCCCAAGTTACAGTTACAGTTTCTAATTTATGACAAATGCACATGCTCGTCTTGAAGTTTGGACCTGAACCGAGAACTGGACAACACCTCCACCCGCCCAGCCGCTGCAGAGCCCCATCAACAGCAAAAACTTATTTGTCGATGGCTTTTGCGGTTTTGCAATGCGGCGCTGATTTTCAATTTACTAAAATTTTGCATTTCCAAAGTGTTGCGCATAGTTTTGTGCCAAACATAAAAGTTATGAAATTGTGTGTACAGTATGATATATGGCCCAGCTGGCGGAATGGACAGTGATATAGAGGAGAAATAAATAATCGTGGGCATCAAATATAAATAAGCAGTGAGGTAAATTATTGTGCTATTGAAATATTAAAAAATACAAAATTACTTAAACACATTTAAAGTAAAACAAGTAAGAGTTTCTAGTCGGGAGCTCCCGACTAGGGGATACCCTGAACCCTCTTCTTCCAACATCAAATGCATATATATATTCTATTTTAGAAGCTATATGTAAAATTTGGTGACTCTAGCTCTTATTATTTACCAAAATTGCCCAAAAAAAAAAAAAACAGGATAATATAATTTTTATCGATCGCTTGGAAACGGAGTAATTTATCGATTATCGGAAACAAACTCGATCTGCGCAGGCACTAGGAGCACCTACATCTAAAATTTCAAGTGTCTAGCTCTTATAGGTTCTCAGATCCTTGTGTTCATACATACGGACGGACGGACGGACGGACGGACAGATAGACGAACATGGCTAGATCGACTCGGCTATTGGTGCTGATCAAGAATATATATACTTTATGGGGTCGGAGATGCTTCCTGAGATGCCTGTTACATACATTTGGATTTTGCACAAATACAATATACCCTTATACCCACTTTTAATGGGTTCAGGATATAAAAACCAAAACGTCACCAAAATATTTGTTAGTTATGCTTATCTATTGCTCTGGCATCGTTTTCGCGGCACTGGGGTAGGACATGCCATGCCCCCTCCGCCTCTTCCTTTCAGTCCTTCTCCGGCGCCCACAAGCGTACGGCATGTCAAATTATTTGTATATAATTCACATCCTTTTGCAGGCCCTGACAAGTGATTTATGTGCGTCTCCTGCCTGCACAGAATGTAACCGAATGCTGCTCCTATAAATAAATATGCCAAGTCGCAGTCGGGCGACATAAGAGACATTCCTCCTATTAGAAGCAGAGCAAATTGTTGGCCTCAGCACTATTATCCTTTTCGCAGACTGTGCTCCGTTTTAAGTAATTGCTGACTTTTGCCATTTCAGCGCTAAGTTATTCCTTTTCGATACCGAAAATTAGATATTCCGACCACATGCTGTGTTTAAATTGTTATGCCATCTTTTTTGGCACTATCCAAACGGATATCGGAGGTGTGTTTGTGTGTATGTGTGTGAGCCCAACTACTTGTGCTTTGTAATTGAAAATAGTGTTTTTTGGCACGGTCAGAGACAACAACTTGCAGCGACAGAGGCGTGTCTCAGATTTTACAAGCTGATTAGAAATCTGACCGAAGTTTGAGTATAAGTCTGTGCTAGATTGTAGATGGAAATATATTTTTATTTTCCTTTAAATTACTTTCTGATTCTACAACAGCTTCAATAATCAGCTCCTTAAGTGAGTAAGGTGCACTTCTTTCAGTTAGTCTGGCATATCCACAGCTGAATGAATAAATAAATGATATGAAACATGGTCACAGCAACACCAGGCGTATCCTAAGCTCCTGTTTTCCACTTTGAATTTTAAATCAAAACTATTTATGTCAACTCGCAGTGCCTCTCTCTCTCTTTGAGCTGTAGTAATGGCTATTCATGAAATGCTTTTTTAAATTATGTCATTAACATTGCAACTGGTGCCGGGAACTGGTTCTGGATCTGGCTCCGACTAGGCAGGCTCTCATTTTTTAATGGGGCTTCTAGAGAGCTCAGTCGGTTGTGCGTTGTGTAATTATGGCATATTTTAATTGCATTTAGAAATTGTTATTGGAATAGTATTGGCATTAAATGCTTGTAAATATTTTAATACAATTATTTCATTAGACGCGCTTCTTGTAATGTGTTTTAATACATCGTTAAGAAGTTTTGGGATTAAAATGTTTATACATAGGCTGTTCAAGAAACTATTCAAAATATAAAACAAGTAAGAGGTTCTAGTCGGGAGCTCCCGACTAGGGGATACCCTGAACCCTCTTCTTCCAACATCAAATGCATATATATATTCTATTTTAGAAACTATATGTCAGATTGGTGACTCTAGCCCTTATTATTTACCAAAATTGCCCAAAAAACAGGATATCGATATCGATTTTAATCGATTGATTGGAAACGGAGTAAGCTATCGATTATCGGAAACAAACTCGATCTGTGCAGGCACTAGGAGCACCTACATCAAGTCTCAAGCTCTTATAGGTTCTGAGATCCTTGCGTTCATACATACGGACGGACGGACGGACGGACGGACAGATAGACGAACATGGCTAGATCGACTCGGCTATTGGAGCTGATCAAGAATATATATACTTTATGGGGTCGGAGATGCTTCCTTCTGCCTGTTACATACATTTGGATTTTGCACAAATACAATATACCCTTATACCCATTTTTAATGGGTCCAGGGTATAATAATTAGACGTAAAGCCTCTTAATTAAAAGATCTGACAAGTTTCTGAAGGAGCAAAGGCCATGTATAAATATATTCGTAAAGGTAAGGTTAGTGCTGAAATATTGTCATAAATCACATATAAAATATCTGTTTTCTCTCTTAAGCTTATGAAGGTGAACTAAATTAGGAGAAAAGAAAAATACTATAACAAACCAATCAGCTTTTTTTCAAGGGAAACTTGTAGTTAACTAAAGCTAGTTCTCAACAGAAATATATTAACTTCAAGGCTGTAGCATTAAAATGCACTAACAATTGTTCTCGCTTATAATTCTCAAATAGTTAAAGCGCTGAACTGCTAAATTGATCTTCATAGAGATCAAATTTTAGTTCTTTTGTCAAACAAAAACTTTAGCTTGAACCGGAACGGAGCAGTTTTAGATACGCCAGCAGAACGAATAGCTAAACAGCCGCAACTAATGAGCATAAGAAATTGCTAGTCTAATGTTTTTTAAGACTTTTCGACATTACCAAAGTTGCATTTGAATGAAAATGCCTGAGAAATTTTACTGGTGTCTGGTGTTACATCTGGCCCTCGCTCAACTCCTCGTGCCCGCAGCTGGCGAAGCCGTCCAAGTGGACAGTAAAAATGTGCGTGATATAATTCAGTCTAATGAGCTGGTCCTGCTGCTCTTCTATTCGAACACATGCCGTTTCAGCGTGCAGATGTTGCCCATCTTCGATGCAGCCGCCGATCAGTTAAGGTCTCTAATTGTCGACTCTGACCAAGTGGGTCTGGGCAAGGTCGACTGTCTGAAGGAAATGCAAATGGAGATTGACTTCGATATAGGCAAATATCCGACGGTGAAGATCGTGCGACATACGCATGTCAGCAGCAAAGAGTATCGAGGAAAACGCTCAACGGAGGCTCTCATTCAATTTGTCTTCAAGGAGCTGCGGAATCCCATCGAGCAGTTTGGCTCCATGCACGAGCTAAACGGTCTTGTCGGCCAAAAGTATATGGTTATTGGTTTCTTTGAGAGGAAACAACATGCTGAATATGAGATCTATCGAAAGGCAGCATCCAATATGAAGGAACACTGCCAGTTCCATGTGAATTTCGATGAGACACATATCCACAATAAGTTAACATTCAGGCGCGAGCTGAATCATACGGATTCCCACAGCGAGTACTCCGGCAACATGTCCAACTTCACTGAGGTCCTAAGCTGGTTAAGGGAGAAGTGTGTGCCAACGGTGCGCGTACTGACATTTGAAAATGCCGAAGAGCTATCGGAAGAGGGGAAACCCTTTGTTATACTCTTCCATCACCAAGATGATCGCATATCTCCAAAGGAATTTGAAATGGTTATTCATGCCGATTTAATGGATGAGCTGGACAATGTTATCTTTCTGACTGCTGATGCAAAACTCTTTGCCCATCCTGTATTCCATTTGAACAAAACAGATGCGGATCTACCCTTTATAGCTATAGACAGCTTTGTGCACATGTTTCTCTTTCCCAACTACAAGGATCTGCACAAGCCATCCAAACTGAAGCAGTTCGTACGCAGACTCCACACTGGCGAGCTGCACTGGGCCCACCATTTCGATGAGGCTAACGAGGAGAGCACTACGGCAAGTGCAGAGGAAACTGAGATCGTGATAACGATGGCACCCGAGTCAAAATTCAAGGCACTGCTGCCTTCAAAAAGTCGATATACATTCGCCAAAGATGAATTGTGATATCAGTTGCTATCTATGAAACCAACTTAAAATATACAGATAGGCAATAGGTGCATCAATTTGTTACATTAAAGAAAAGCAGAAGTACGAAAAGAAAACAAAAGGAAAATTGCATAAACAATGGCATGAATTATTAATTAAAACCAATGTTTTTAAATATTCTTATATAATTAAATAAAAATATTTTGAAAATGTAAATGAAAATAATCACAAAACTAATTATATAATAAATATATAATTAAAATATAACTAAATGCAACAATAATTAGCAATAATTTTCATAAATGATAAAAAATGATTGCTTACAGAAAATAACTTACTAATCCAAAGTTTTAAACATACAAAACAGTTTCTAGCAAGAGCTATTAAAGTGTTGGTTGAATATGCCAAGGTAACAAATTTTCGTCAGCATTTCCCGCATTGAAAAGAAAATTTTCTGTCACTCAGTAAAATCTGGAAGTGCTTTGGTTAATAACATACAATTATTCTTTAATATTAAATAAAGTGCTATATTATTTTTACACTTCAATAAATATAACTTCATCTAAGTTATTAACTTCAGCTCTTTTTATAAAATGTGCCTAATAAGAAAATATTCTAGATATCTAATACTGTGGCCATACATTTGCACCCGACTTGGCATTCACAATGGTTTTGTATGTAGGGAGCATGTATAGGGTTGTAGAATGCTTGAGCCTAGTTGGAAATGGGCGTTCTGTTTATGGCGGCTGCGACAAATCGAACACCAGCCAATATGGGCATGGGAACCAACCATTGAGAACCAACTGAAGCGCTGGCACGTGCCAAGATGGGAAGATCTTGAATGCAGCACGATGGTTCCAGGAACGAGATCAAGGAACGCAGAATATTTGAATATGCAGTGCAGGGAAATGCTAATGGACTCATTAGTCAATCACAATTGACAGGTTAGTGTGGCTGGAACTGGAATAGGAACTGGAACTGGTTCTTGTTCCCCCGGGGAGAACGCCCGTTAAGGCAGCGCCATAGAAACAAACACTTTTACTCATAAATTGTCATAATTAATAATCAATTTATGGACACACACTGGCAGTTGGCGACTGCCTTAAAGAGGCTGACATGGACCAAGTTGGAGCAGCAGCTTGGACCCGGTTCTAATGAGCGTCAAGAGCGCGTGCCGTGCACATGTGCCAAATGCGGCACCTTCGCGTGGCCAGCGCTGCAATTACCAGAGTTTTCCATAGTCGGTGCTGGCCGCCTCGTTTTGGAGTGGCAGCTGCCCCACCAAATAGGTGTTGAGCAACTGCACCACCAGCAGCATCCCAACGACCATGCCCACCATAAATAACTGTCAATAAATGTCAACGTTTTTGGGACGCATTAACATAGAAGCTAAGCCGATTCCGCTGACAGCTGGTGACGTTTGCCCCAAGATGTGGCACCAGCTGTAGCTGTATTTGTATTTGTATCTGTATCTGCAGCCGTATTTGTATTTGTATCTGTATCTGTATCTTAAGATGTATCTGTTGCTGCCTCTATGGCCATCCATCGCTGTCAGCGCTTGTCCTTTGCGCAATTGATTTAATCGCCTTTTAATCGCCTACGCCTCGCCTGCCCCGGCTCGGATGCCCAATTACCTGTCGACGCGATGCCTTCTGTAATTCCCGCTCCATCGTTAGTTACCTTTGGCTTGGGCTCATCAGCAGCTGTCGCGGAAGTCACGTGCGGAAGTTTTACTTTATGTTCAAGTACCTGCAATACTTACCCGATTTTAGACCGGGTATTCACATGCAAGTTCTATATTAAAGCTAATTTGGCTTCCGTTTAACATTTACACACTTTGATTTTTCGTGGAAATTAACCCAAATTTTTAAAATGTTGACTTTTTGTTGCATGTTTATTGTGTGATACGCTGTTAGTATTACGTTAGTTACACGAGCTAGGTTAAACTGTTGATATATTTACTGTTCTAGTCGTTATTTTGCAGCATTTCCAGTCTAATGTCAATCAATCAGAAACAAGCTTTAAAAGAAATCGGGTCTCGTCAATTATGATTGAGCTACTCGCATTCTTTTAGACTTAAACGATCGCCAAAGATGATTTGAGACTTTAGAATACATTTAAGTATTACGATATCTTTATTTTTCTATTGTCACGGTGTTTATTGGGTCACTCAAGTGACTCGGAGGGAAAATAAAAGGACTAGATCTCACTTCTAGCCAAAAACACGAATACCCTTAAGCAAAGATTTTTACCTATTGCTCTTCCCTAGGAAAACCTTACGAAATGAGACTTTTTCTTTTTCTTCATCATTCTTAATGCATTCTAAAATTATGTTCTGCTTCTCTTCTTCTAACAAATTCAACATAACCTCTTTCAAGTACCGCACCGTGCATACTGCGGCTTACAGCTCGATCAGAGATACGCGTTGTGCGCCAGTAGAATCGCAAAATGAACTCGATTTACAGTTAGCATAACAAGAAACGGCAAAGAGAGGCAAATGTCAAGCACACACTCAAATAGAAATGCAATTGCAGTTGTAATTGCAATGGCAAATTTGTGATATTTCAATTAAAATCTAACGGCACAAGTCATTAAATAACAAATACAACATGTACAACAACAACATATCTCTCTCTCTCCATCTCTCTCTCTCTCTCTCTCTCTCTCTCTCTCTCTCTCTCTCTCTCTGTTTGTGTGAGTGCTCAACATATTCAAAGTTGTGCCGAGCTGCTCGACGCGACGGGCAATCAAATGCGCTGATTCCAATTGCAAGTTCTGCGCGCACAAAAAGCAGTTTACGGCAGCTACAAAAAAAAACACAAACAAAACGTTTTTGTTTAATTAAATTAACAAAATACGCGACCGATAAGAAACAAAAACTCGAATATTTTGCACGCCAACAACAACAACACGTGTTTTCTGCATTGTCAACTAAGAGCGTCTAAAGAGAGAGAGAGCGCGGCGGAGCGTGTGTGTGCGCGCTCTCGCTGCATGCTCTTAAGCTTAACGCGCTCTCGCTTCCACAGCTTATTAATTGGCAGACGCGCTCTCTCACTCGCGTAGCCCCACATGACGCGGTTTCTCAAGTCCATTTGTCTTGCGGCTCGCTCGCACTTGCGCATGGCCCGTGTGCGGCGTTGCCATCTCGCTCGCCGACTGGTTTCAACCCGTTTCCACCAATCGGCAAAAAGCAGCTAGGACCAGTCTGCTCGCCATGTGCGCACAAAAACGAGGCGGAGCACAAAAGCTCCCTCGCAGTCGCTCCCCTCTGATGACCCCTAGGTGCACCAGCCCTATGGCAGCGCTGCCCCTGCGCCATTGCCGCGCTGCCAGCCTGTCTGTCAACCAATTTGGCGTCCATGACCAACCATGACGACTCCAGCTCCGACTCCAGCTCCGATTCCAGCATTGACTCTAGCTCCGGCTGCCTCTCCACCAACACAAAATGTTGCGGCTTTGCATTTTGACATTTCGCTCGCATCGTCAATGGCGCCGCACAGCTGTGTCTGTCTGCATCCTATTCCAGTCCAGCTGCGGTTGGGCCCCGCAATTTTGTAATATGTTAAATACGAACAAAATGCATTTTCGAAGATTTCCCATTGCGGTTTCCACTGTAAATTGCACGTTATCAGCAGCAGTTTTAAAAGGCGAAACGTTTTGTGCATCTGCCGGTTTTTTCAGTGTATTTCAGGAACCAAAATTACCCAAAATCATTTAGAACACTCAAAAAAAAGAAAAAGATTCAAATTCGAGCCGTTTGTGGTTACAAATATTTGTATGTGCGATCTTATAAACATTGCAAGCAAACTATGTATAGGACAAAAAATTTATTTTGAAAACTAAGTAATACATATCTTTTTCTATTATATTGGCTTAGTGTTTACAACATTAATTGGTGTTTTATAATTGGGAAAAAATAGATAGAACTAGTGAAGCAGTAATTAGTTTTTTATATTTTGTATAAACTATAAGTAACATTTTAAGTAAGGTTCTCTGAATAGAGAATACTTGGGATCCAAAGTGAATTTCAATTTGAAAAAATTATAAAATCTGGTAGCACTATTTTGGCATACAAATATTGATGAATCGTCTTAATTTAATATCTTTGTGCTAATTATGTTAAACATTAATAGCTCCAACATGCTTTTGATATGGTCATTATATTCAAAGCGTTTAATTTGAGTAATAGCAGGATATTACGATTCAAGTCGCTTAATACGATGATCCATTCAATTTTAGCTTTTAAATCCGATCGTAACAAAATAAGAAGAATATCGATTTTATCTAAGTTTTTAAAAATTTCAAATAGAAAATGTTAATTAATTTATATACATACTTTCCCAAAATCCCTGTCTTAGCGTCTATCTTCATCACTCCGACATCAGTAAGCCAGTCAATCAGTCAGTCAGTCAGTCAGTCAGTCAGCCAGGACAAACAGTTTTATATATAGAGATAAAGTTTGGAATGATTTAATCGCCTTAATATGAATCAATTATACAAAATTTAATAAATTTGATTATAATCAAATAATTTTGTAATCAAATCCTTTATACATTCTTTGACATCTTAAACTCTATACTAGGATAATAACTGCTAATCCATACTTGAAGTGTCTATCTTATTTGCTTGTAAGCTATGCTTCTAGTATCCATCCATTCTCTGGGTCTACAATGCATTTTGTGTATGCTATCTACCAGCTCCAACCTACAACCATTATTAACCCATTACAGGAACCATCAATGGAGATTCAGGTATAATGCTCCTCTATTTGGCAGAGCTGGTAAAAATTGCATTGATGACAGTGCAAACAATTGAAATGACAGCCGCGTTGGGCGATAAGGCGAGTTTTAATGGCGCTCAAACAAATGGAAATTTAGCACGAACCAAATGAATGGAGTTCAAATGTTGGCACTAAGCAAATGACAGAACATGAAAATATAATTTAAAAAAAAGGGGGAAAACAAAACTAATTGCAGTTGTTGTTGTTGCTGTTGCTGTTGATTGAATGAAATAATCAAATTAGCCGATAAGCCTCGGGCGTGTGCATTCGCTCGATTGGACTTTATATTATATACATACATATATTTGCCGTCGGAGGCTTTGCAAATCGAGCGCTAAATAAAGCAATTTCCTAGTAATGCAAAAATGGCAAGCATTACAACATTGCGAGCGTTTCGCATTCCATTTGTAGAGCTGCATGTACCAGAGCTGGGCTCGAATTGGACGCGCCGCGCGGCATAATCCCCAAAGGTGGCAACGTTGCAGTTGCATTGATTAACTAACCTGCCATTGCATAATGCCATGCAGCTCGAGTGCTTTGTTGTTTTTCTTGCTATATATTTCCCTTATTTTCTATATTATGTTTAATTTTTAATTTTATGCGGGCGCTTTTCCCCTACGGAATTGTTGCAGTTGTCAGCGGCGCAGCGAACGGGCCGAAAAGTCTTCTTCAATTCTTCAAGAACAACAACCAAAGCAGCCATAGCAAAGAGCGAAGAGAGCAGCAGCTCATAAAAAAATGCAACGTTGCCAGCCGCTACGCAAAGCATAAGAAAAAAAGCCAATCCAAAGGCAAGCAGCCGGAGAGACAACAAAAACGAACGAAATCGGCAAAAAAAGGCAACGTCAAGTGCTCCAATAAAAATTCCGCCGCCTTTGGCACACGCTGCACTGCTCGCTCCCACAGCGCTGACTGCGCTGCTGCGGCGCCTGTTGTCTCGCTCGGTCGTTTTTTTTAAGAGCGCGCTTTTTGCAGCGCCTGCTCTTGAGCTTTCGTTTGAGTGTTTTTATGTGCACTTGAAATGAATACGTGCGATTATTGGCCGCGCGAAAAAAATCAAAACTAATAAGAAAAAACTCGCTTATGTATTTGATTTTCGTTTTTGCTAACGGCTTTTGCTGCCTTTTTTCTGCTAAAATTTTAATTTGAATATTACATGTATTAAAAACTCATTATTGTTGGCCGATCCGCAAAAGTTGGTCAATGGGCTAATGTGCGTCCAACGCTGCGGATGCTTTTGTAGTTGTCTTTATTTTTTTTTTTTTGCTGCTCTACGCCCATTTTCTTCGGAGAATAACCCTGAAATGGAGAAGTTTCACTGTGGTTCTTATAAATTTACAGCTAAGATTTTTAGTTATGTGTGTTGTTTTGTTGTGTACATTTTTCATGTGATATGATATATAACTATATATATTATTTCGGATATAGCTTCATCCATAAGCACTTTCCTAATCTGTACTTTAACAGAGAACAAGTTCTGGTAAGAATTTAGATATATGTCTTGATGTATTGTTTTATAAATAATCTACTTGAGAAGACATATATATATATATATATATATAGACTTAAAATTATAATCTATTTTCTAAATAATACTAGAAACTCAGTTTCTCGGAACCAACCAATAATATAGCCACCTTTCTGAAGATCTCAGATCCACCTCCTCTCTAGATAAGTATATATACATATTACTATGTATATATAATATTATTATTATATGTACATAATTGATAATAATGATATAAAGTCATCGGTCGAATTGAGTCTTAGACAACCTTTATTTCATTTCGAACAACTAAGATGCTGGAAGAAAAGCTTAAAAAAAAAAAAAGAAAAATATCGTTTTTCCAAATGTTGGGTCTTAACCAGGGCTCCTCTCTAGACATCGCCAAAGGACGACGCCGGTCAGTTCGCAGGTGATGCTGCAACCCACCACAAACAGAACTATGGTACGGAATATGCGGAATCCATATAAGATATTGTCATTGCGCCCGTTATTGCTTTTAATCGAGGACCGCCTCCTGTTGGACCTTCGGTTGCTGAGTCTGGGCTGGTCTTCGGGATTGGGCTGTGGTTGGGGAGGTTCCGCGTTTTCGGGGGGCGGTTGTTCTTCGGCTGGCGGTGGGTTGGCCTGCGGCGGATCCTCCGGGTTCTCTGGGGGTGGAGGCGGGGGTGGTTCTTCTTCATTGGCAGGCGGTTGATCTCCCCCGTTCTCTTGCTGATCGCCTGGCGGCGGACCATCCTGAGCATTGGGATCTGCCATGAAGAAGATTTATAAAGAATTTGGAATTTATTGATTGCCGAAAAGAAAACCCGACACCATTTTACAAACTTGACAAAACAAAAATAAATAATGAATGACACGCCTACTTGAGCAGTTAATTATAGTTCGGTTTGGCTTGAACTTTGCATTTTTGTTGGAAAACGCCTACGCCTACTGGAATACCCCAACAATAGCAGCAGCAGCAGCAGCAGCAGTAGTGGAAGCATGGTCATTCATGCTCAAAGAGCAAAAGCACTCAAGCAAAAAGCACACAATCAAATCAAAGCTGCTCAAGAGCGCAGCTGAGCAAAAACCACAAACAACTTTTTTCTACACAGCAGCAGCAGCAACAGCAGCTGCTGCAACAGAGAGCGTGAGAGAGTGAGCGCGCGGTTTTTGCTGTCGTTTTTGTTGTTATTTGCTTTGTTTGCGCGCGCCAAAAAGGAGTAAAAAGATGCGCATGCGCCGCCGTCGCTGCGCCCCCCCAATTCACTCAGCCGAAAAAGCTGCACCATCAGAGCGAGAGAGCATAGCGGCCAAAGAGAGAACGCTCGTGTATATGTGCTTTCGTGTTTGTGTGCATGTATGTGTGTGTGTGTGGGGCCACTGCTGCCGTCGACGTCGTCGCAGTGGCTGCGATTTGGCGGCGAAGGCATTTGAATGTTTTTTTCGTCGCCGCAGTCAGCATTCGAGTTCGGAATTCTTGCGAGCTGGCAGCAATTTTTTTGCCAGCGCCAAGAGACCGGGCCACAGACAATCGAGTAGCCACTGTACCAGGCAGCAGCCCAGTAGACCAGTTGCCACTAGCCACTAGCCAGTATACAGTATCCAGTATCCAGTATCCAGTTACCAATAATATCCAACAGTCTCGCGCGCGTTTGCCAAGAGTCGAGCGTTTTTTTGTGCTCGCGCGTTACTCCAAGAATTCTGTTGCAGTCGCCAAGTGCAACGCATTTTCGCCATACCGCAGATGCAGCTGGCTTTGCTCTGCATCCACAATTAACAAGCGCGTTAAAAAGTGCAACAACAACAACAACAACAAAAACAAGCAAGTGCAAGTGCATATTGTTAAACACAACAACAACAAGAAAAAAAGCTAACCAAAAAAAAGTGGAAGAAGAGCAGTCCAAACGAATGTAAGAATCGTTTGTGAATGAATCGCCGGTCAAAATTGAATGAATATTGTGACGCCATTTTGAGTACACTCAGAATAACAAAAGTGCTAATTGTCAAGCATTTCAATTGTGGACTGCTTCAAAAGTGAAAGTCAAGTAAATAAAAATACCTGTTTACGAATAATAAATGCTAAAGTCAAGTATATTTTTGTGGGATATCGGGATTATTTAGAGTATTTAGAATATTTTTGAATAGGGTCTGAGAGAATTAGAGCAATCAGAATGCGAGTACTTGAAATAGATTTGTCTGGGCTATAAATGAAATAGAGTAACCAAAACGTGAGTGTTTGAATGGATTCGACTAGAGTCTACATAAAATAGAGTATCCAAAACGTTGGTGCGATGTATTTCAAGCATTCATTATCCTGTAATTTTGTATTTTTAATCTCAGAAAATGTATCTACTTGGAAATAATTTATATAGAAAATAAAAATAAATGATAAAATAATGTTACCCTAGCTTGTGGTTAAATAATTAACAAAATGACACAACTTTTTAATTTCTATTCAATATATTATTATTTTTTTTTTGGATTTTTAATCAGATTTATCGAATAATGTAGAATGACTTCTGAGAATTTGGTAAAAAGTAGACCCCAGGGTTTTAAAATGGCTTGCAAACTAGCCAATAGCTTGTAGATAAAGGCAAGATTTTATTACTAAGGCTTTATTTAACTTTGTCTCAATCAGTTTTCAATGAATCAATCATATGGCAGCCTGGTCTATAGACGGAATATCTACTGACTTTGCAGAACATTTTTTAAAAGTTAGCAGACCAATTATATAAGTCTGTTCCATAGAAATAGAAAAAATTGGATCCCATCAATAGAACATAGCTTATACTTTTTGAGCATATCTTATAAAAACTCACTTAAGGAGCTGAAAAATATATAGAATTTGGAAAAAAGATTGAAAATGAAAACACATCGGCTGTTATCTGCATGCGAAAGCTAAGCCTAAAGCGAAAGGGGCTACATAACCTAAATCAAAAGGGAACCAAAAGTATTATACTTTCTAATCATATTTAAAATATATCCAATATTCATCTAAATATAAAGTCTAGAGTTGTCGCATCCTGCAATAAAGAAAATCAAATGGTTTATAAAAAGCAAAAAGCAAAACAAAAGTGCTTGAGAAGACGAAACAGTGGCAAATAATTTAAATATTGCAAATACTAAAAGTGCAAAGTGCAAAACGCAGTGTTGAACAAGGCCGCAGTTGATCTGTTTAAATGATTATGCATGGTACCTGGTACAAAGGACCACAGCTGTCGCATCATCCACACACCGACTACCATCAGTTCCGATCGTATCCCTCGTTTGTTGTGACACCCTATCACGAGGGACATGCGGCCACGCCCTGCCCGCCCACGCCCTGTACACCCTGCAACAGCAGCACCAGCACCAGCACCAGCAGCAGCAGCAACCATGCCGCAACTGGACTTGGACTCGGTCTTGGACTTGGCCAAAACACAGCCGAGGCGACACCAATAATTGTCGAGGGCACATTCGCTGCTGCCGCCGCTGCTGCAGCCGCTGCAGCTGCCGCCGTCGGTTGCATAAATCCAATTACCGGAACGGTAACGGGAACGTTAACGGGAACGGGAACGGGAACAGTGACTGCAACGGGAACTGCATCTGGCAATACGCTGCTGAGTCCGGCCATTAAAATCGAGCAGGTTTTTGGCGAGGCATCCGCCAACTCATCGCTGGGCGCCGTTGTCGAGGATTATGCCCTGAACTTGGACTGTCCAGTGGAGCATCAGTTTCGGGTGAGTTGCAATTAAGTACAGTAGCACTTGCCAGTTGCCACTTACCACTTGCCACTCGCCACCGTCAAGGGGGCGTGCTCCAAATCAATTTTCATGAAATCATCCAATAACACTTAAAAGCCACAAAAAAAAGGGGGAGACAAAAAAGCGAGAGGCAAAAAATGACAACGAGTAAAAAACATGACAACAAACACGCCCCCAAATTCACACACACACTGCGAGAGAGAGAGAGAGAAAGAGAGCGAGAAAAAGACGGCAACGCTTGCTCTTCGTTTTGTTTTCGAAGAGCGCGGCCAGGTTTTGAGCTTGTTTTTGTGCTCTTGAGCGCAAAAGCTTGCGCTGACTTTTTGTGCACGCAGGACATTTTTTGCTGCGTTGGTTCGTGCACAGGATATGCCATAATTAGTAAGCGAAAGTTTTGCGCTTTAAAGCTTTCGACGAAAAGCTCTTCAATTGAATTTACTTGAGCTACGCTCAGAGTGTTAAGAAAGGATGCAACAGTTGGGTCTGAATATAGACATCAAAATATCCTTTATGGCAAAAGACGAAAACAACTTGTGGAGCCTTGTTGAGGCTTTGACTTGGCCGAAGCAAGTTAAATAGGGGCAGGTCAGGGTAAAAAGGACTTGCATTTTATAGAGACACAAGAGAAGCTGTGTATTCTTATGGAATCTAATAAAGTAACTAAAACCAGCTCTAAGGGGCTTAAGCTTAGAATGTAACTCGAGAAATATTGTCTACAGCTGAGTAAACTGGGGAAAGTCAGGGTAAACTAAAGTTTTTTTTTTTATATAAAATCATTTCGACTGTATCAGAGTTCAGTTTTTTTCTTGAATATAGGTATGTCATAAAGTTAAAAAACAACAAACATTTTGTTGCAATTAAAATTCCATTTGAGGAAAATTACAAAATTCGAATAGATTTGTTTCATAAAGAAACCAAAAAGAATTTGAGATTGATTTTCTGAGGAATATAGTTGACATACAATATCTATCGGGCAATATTTAAGGATTTGTTCTCTAAGAAATTTAGTGAAGATATAATTTTTATACCCTGAACCCATTAAAATTGGGTATAAGGGTATATTGTATTTGTGCAAAATCGAAATGTATGTAACAGGCAGAAGGAAGCTTCTCCGACCGCATAAAGTATATATATTCTTGATCAGCACCAATAGCCGAGTCGATCTATCCATGTCCGCCTGTCTCAGAACCTATAGGAGCTAGAGACTTGAGTTTTTAGATGCAGGTGCTCCTAGTGCCTGCGCAGATCGAGTTTGTTACCGATAATCGATAACTTACTCCGTTTCCAAGCAATCGATATCGATATCATATTTATTTTGGCAATTTTGGTAAATAATAAGAGCTAGAGTAACCAAACTTGACATATAGCTTCTAAAATAGAATATATATGTATATGCATTTGATGTTGGAAGAAGAGTGTTCAGGGTATTCCTAGTCGAGAGCTCCCGACTAGAACCTCATACTTGTTTTCTTATGTTGTATTTACTTTAATGTGCTTAGCTTATAGATTAGTTTTACCTAGAAATTCTGTAATATAATGTAAAAATAGACATTCGTGAACATCTCTTGGCTAATAATGTGTTTATCTTTTATATTAGTTTTACTGAAGAATTTCTATAATATAACATAGTATTAGTGATAGATATTCGTATCTTCTTAAGTAAAACATTCGTGAATAATATCTCTTGGTTCGAAATTATATCTAAGCTTATTTTATAGACTAAGGAGTTTATAGAGCAGCTTGTTATTTGACACATTTATGTTCGTTCACTTCTTACCCGGAACCGTTTCCTGCACGCCTGACCTTTAATTTCAATTATCCGTCAACGTTATTCTCCGACGATTCTCGCATCCGCTAAACGCCGGATGCAGCTCACCTTAAAGGCGACGTTTAGGTTTATCTTTGGCGAGAAGTGGCAGGAGCATATCCTTTGCTGTTATCAGCTAATGCAGAAGGAAAACCATATTACTTGGAAATGTTGCTGTGTGTTTGTGTGTGTGGGCTCAGTTGTGTGTGTGCGTGTGTGTCTGTGAGGGTGTGCTGCAAAGGAAATATTCGCGTTGCAAGCGAAATCCTAGCACATAAAAAAGCAACGCACATAAAAACATATGCTTCAAGCCCTGGTTCAGGATACTTGTTTTCTGTTTCCCTTCTTTTCTTTTTTGTATTTTTCTGTGCGCATTGCATTTACGACGTCACCGTCGCCGTCGACGTCGACGCGAGCAGCGCTGCCAAGCCTTGCAGTTGCGGGCTAAAAGTTTTCTTGTTTCGATTGTTAAGTTGTTTCAAAGGCGTTTAACAAAAAGGAAAAACAGTAAAGAAAAGCCAGCTTAGGACGCAGTGGAAGGGTAACTAGGTAGCTTGATACTGTAATAGCTATAAAGCCCTGTAAGCATGGCAGAAAACAATATAGCTTTATTGAGCAATTATTTCGGATAATAAAACAAAATAAAACATGTAAAAGATTTATAACGAAAAAAAATATAAGGCGAGAGTTCGAAAAAAACACAAGCAAATGCGCTTTAAAAATTAAGAAATGAATTTGGGAAATAAATATAGAAAAAATACAAAAGTCCTCGAAATGTGCAAGCAGCAGAAATAACAACCAAAAAGAATAGCAAAAAAAAAAAAAAAAACAAACATATAATAAACAAAATGAAGGCAAAGAAATTGGCGCTCATGAAATGTTAACGGCCAAGCGCTGACGCTTGACGTCGACGCCGGCGTCGCTGCTGGCAGCGCAGCGCGCTTGAATGTTGAATGTTTTCATCCTTTCTTCGATGTGTTGTCGCCGCGCTGCTTCTGCTGCTGCTGCACTTCATATATATATATACATATATATATATATATATATATATGAATGTGTGTGTGCCAGGACATCACACGGTTTTCGCTTTTCTTTTACAACTTTTTGTTATTATTTCGTTTTTTGCTACTCGCCGCTGCCTTTTGAAATGTATTTTCTTTTAGTCGCTGCTATTTTTTGCTTCATGTGGAGGCAGCTAAAAAAAAATACAATTTCACTTGAATTTTTTTATGCTACTGCCGCTTGTGTGTGTCCGTGTCAGTGTATGTGTGTGTTTGTGTGTGTGCTGGCCCTCGACCTGCTGCTACTTCTTGAGTTTCCTCTTCGCGCGCGCCATTTTTGCTGCTGCTTCTGCTACTTACAGCAAACATGGCTGTTGCTGCTCCTGCTGCTGTTACTGCTCATGCTGCTGCTGCTGCTGGCATAAGTCGCCGCTTTTATCCTGCTGCTTCCGGCGCAGCCGACGCCAGCTGCGACGTTCACGATTGTTGCATGTGTCCGTGGCCTTTGGCGCGCTGCAACTGTCGTTGTCTTCAGTTCGCTTGCGTTTGGCCAAATCTATTGGTCGTCGGCGCGACGTGCCGCGTACGCGTCGCGTGTTTTCCAACTGACCCGCATGCTAGGTGCGGGCGCCACAACACCAACAAACAGACACAGGCACATACACTCCAATTATAAAGACTATCAACAGCTACAAGTGCTACACGGTGCAACTGCAATAACAGCACCAACAACTTGACTTGCCTCACCTGACGAACCGTGGGAAATTCCAACTTAAGACCAGCTGAACAGGGTGGAGTCAAGCTTTTAGTTGCATCTTATCTTTCTATATTTCGTTTAAAGAATTTTCCGCAACTTAGATCCTAGTTTCCTAGTTTTAGTGACTGACCTCTGATGCACTATTTGTATGACTGCTCAACACTCTTTTTTCTAAAAATATTTCAGTGTTAAAAGGTGCGTGTAGTTAACTGTAGTTAATACAGCAGAATCTGAAGCCGTCTGTTCACATTTGAATTCCCCACGTTTCGTTTAATGCGATCTGGTTTCTTCTACTTGAAATAACTGCAAGTGCAACACTAACTGCAGTGTTGTCTAATCTAGTTAGCTTGAACATTTATCAACAAATATTAATAACATTACACAGCACTAGAAATCGTTCACTTTGAAAAACAAATAAGTATTATTGTAAACAGTACTGTATAACTTTTCGAAAAAATATTTTTTTAGACTTTTAATCAATTTTTTCATATGGCTTATATTCAGAAAAGGAGCTTAAAGCTTATAGTAAGTTGTATTGCATTAGCTTAATGCAATATATGGCACATCAGACTTTAAGATCTTGATAAAATAATGATTAAGCTGTTCTTAAATTTCACATTATTAGGGTACAGTTTAAAATAAAAAAATAGCTTCAAAAATTAAACTTTTCAACAAATTTTTAAAAATTTGAAAAGCTTTTAAATAAAAAACTAAAGCAAAATAATTTTCTTTAAAAATGTTGTTTAATTGTGTTTTCTCATTTATTTTGTTGACGCTTTTTTGTGCGCATATTTTGTGCAATTTACTCTAAGGTAAATACGCCTAATACATTATTTTGTGGCAAAAACACAATTTGCACACAATTCTGGGATAAATTCTGTGAGACTAATGCGATTTAGACTTGGAATAAGCGTTATACTATATTCTAGAGTATGCCAATCGTTATATTCTGGGATTGTTTCTATTCTGAGACTTCTAAGAACCACAGATTTGTTTATCCTCTGGCCTAAAGCTGCCTCGTTTGAAGCTTGAACATTTTTTATTTGTATTGTTTAGAGGTCGCATACATAGAGTATACAGGATGCTTAACAGCAGCGCGTCTTCAGTTGCAATAACTATAGTACTTAGAACTTAAAAAAAAAACACACACACAAACGCACATAAGATGCAATAGCAGCAAGAAAAACATAATAAAAATCACAAAGATGAGCAACCCGTATAAAAGAAAATCAATCTGCCGTGCTGCAGCCCAGGCACCGAAACCCTTACACCAAATTCACAAAGTTAGATCAGCGCCTCCCCCACCCCCAACTCGTAACATAAACCAAGCACCCGCACTCTCTGCGCCCTTTTGCCAGGACATCCCACGGCCTGCAGGACATCGCGCAAATTCAGCTATATTTTTTTCATATACGCTACGTTTTCTTACAAGAAAATGCTGCAGTGCGCTGCGAATGTATGTCTTTATAACGGCAGCGTGCATAAAAAAGGAGCAAGGAGCAAAAATTATAAAATAAGAAAAAATAAAAATGAAAGCAAGGAAAAAAAGAAATAAAAAGAAATGCACACACACAGAACAACAAAAACTCGAGCTGACTCTGAGATTGCTCTCCCATTGCAGGGGCGCAGGCAGCAGAGCAAGGAAAAAAAAAGAAAACATTCACAACATACAAAACAGTTTTTACACACACACACACAGCACGTATGTATGTATGTGTGTGTGTGTGTGTATGGGTTTGTGTATATTTCTTTGTATACATATTTGACTGCTTCGCGCGCGCTCGCAATTTCTTTTGCGGCAGCTTCAGCTTCAGCTGCTGCACTTTGAGTTTCTGTTGTTCAGTTGTTGCAAGCTATCCCACGCTCGCTGACTGCATGACAGAGACGGACGGGACTGAGACAAGGACTCGACATAAAATCCCACGCACACACACACATACACACACAAAAACAAATACAAATACAAAGCTGCAACGAGGCTTATGCGTAATATTCATACGACTAACGCCTCAATTTCCAGCATAGTGTGAACAAGCGCCCGCGCATTCGATTTGTCTAAGATCGGACATCTGATATATATCAAACATATATATGTGTGTGCTACGTCACGTATACAACATGTATCCGGAAATAAATCAAAGCCTGTGCTAAATGCGCGCATCGTGTGTTTTGGCTTAAACAACGCAATCTATGCCGCAACGAAAGTTCCTAAAGAAAGTGCAAAATATTGAAATAATCATTTAAAAAGTTTAAATCAAAGAACAAGTGTAAAATTTGCAACAAAAAGTTCCTAAAACGCACAAAGTGCAAAATATGTCAAAAGAATTAATGGCATTTTAATATAAATATATATAAATAAGTATTTATTATAATTATATACGTAAAATTTATAAAAAATATATATATGAAGATGAAGATGCAAAATATAACAAAGTATGAATAATAAGCATAATATAAATATAAAAATAATAAAAGTATGGATATTCACTTATGAGAATTTATAATTTTATTCATATTTTTTTGTTTATTTTTATATTTTTATATATTACTATAACTATTATGATTTACGCATTTATGTTAAGTAAAACTTTGTTTTAAGGAATTCAATTTTAACTATTTTATTGTTATATATTCAAATATTTATTTATTTATATAATATATAAAACTGTGTGGTTTTGTGTTTAACAGTTTATTTAGATATAAGTTTTCTATTATTTATCAGAGCAAATTCTATTAGCTTTATTTAGCCAATAAAGTTGTAGCGGTCTTAGCCCTTTGGTACTTTTAAGCTCTTCAATGAAACCGACAACCAACAAACCGATCTAAAATACGTACACTCCAAACTGCAACAATCTAAACGAAATCATGGAAAAAAAGCGTTTACCACACATCACACGCAACCTGCCACAAAATGTGGCAGCAAATGGAAATGCAACAACAACAAATCAACTAAAGCAACAAATAAATCATACACAATTTCTCAACCGAATGTAAACTAAACAAAGAGCCCCGCTAAAAGCGAAATAAAATAGAAAAACTAAAACAAAAACTTTTTCAAGGTCATTTGCCGTGAGGTTTTTTGATTTTTCATTTGAACAAAACTGCATCTAAAAATACAAAATAGTGTTGGGGTAAAAAATGCGACGCGTCGCAGCTACAAATAAAGCATATCAAATGCTTACAAAACTTTTTCGTGCGACCCCTCGTATAAAATAAAAGTTTAGCCAAAGAAATAATAAAAAAAATCATCGCCAGCAAAAACTTTTTGTGTTTATTTTTTGTTTTATATGCCACTTGTTGTTTTTTGTTGTACGCCTGCGGCTCGGTCACAGCTTTGTTTGCATGTGTAAATCGAACGAGCGGTGCACGAGTTAGACACATTCCCACCAACCACTGCCCCTGCCCCGCGGTGCCTAACGAAAGTGAAATTGTCACAGACTGTGTGAAAAAAGTGTTGCCTACATTTGAGCACGAGTCATGCTGAAGGATCAGCTGCGGCGTCGTCGCGCCCAGGACTTGGGCAGCTACATAGAAGCGCTTACTAGCGCTACGCCCGCACCAACGCCCTTTCTTATGCCCGCTGAATTCTACACGAGCCTCTTCGCCAGCGCCGTTCTGCAGCAGCAGCAGCAACAACAACAATGCGAGGCCAGCCGCTGGTACCCGCAAACACCATCGCCCACGCCCCCGGTGAAGCTTACAGCAACTGGCACACCCCCGCCAGCCCACCTGTCGAGCAATTTATTGTTCTCTGCTGTTTGTGTTGCCGCCGTTGAGTCAGCCAAGCGCAGCCAGCTGAAGCCGCAGGATGTGGCAGAAACTAAGGCGCAGCAGAATGTCCTTGAGAAAGTTTCAAATGTGGGGCTGGCAGAGCATGTTAGTATGAAAGTTGTCTGCAAAGTTGAGCAACTATTTTTTTTTTATTAATTACGTGTGAATAAATATATAATTGACATACATTCTCGGCTGACGATTTATATGTGAAAATGTTTTTTTTTTATATCAAAATTGGTTTAACATTTATAATTTAAGTTTGGTAATAATTGAAATTTTTTTGAATTTATATTTGCTGCGTCTGCTTCACTTAAAGGCACGTTTTCTTGAATTATTTTATTGGGATTTCACATTGTAAACAGTGAAAAATTTCATTACATTGAGTTAAATATTTTTGATTGGGCTGTTGCTTAAATCTGGCTTTAGGAATTTCTCTGATTTTCTTGCTACTATTGAACGACATTTTCTAAGAAGCTGCGAAAAGGGTATTAAAACATATTTGGATGTCATAGTTAGCTCTAACTTTTCACAACTGTGCATTGAGGTGCTATAAGACTTAAATTCCATAGATATGAACGCGAACAGGCGTTCAGTCTCCTCACAGTCCATCTGAATAGACATAATTGGCTTTAAAATCCAATTAAAGTATATACAAAAAAATTGCGACCCGTCTCCAACTTGTGTTGAACCCTTACCTTAAATGAAAAGAAGCGCAAGAAAAATATAAAATTGGGTTTGTTTGTTTACGCTAATTATGGGTAGCCCAAAAAAATAGGCGATTTTTCTGTGGCAGCAACAACAACAACACGAAAAATCATCAAAAAATCATTAAATATTTCATGCTCAATGCTTGGGCTAACAAGAAAAATATGAAAAACCCTTTTCAAACAAAACAAAACAACAAATTTTGTACTTTGCAGAAACCCCAACACAACAACAACAGCATCAACGGCTACGCCTGGTCAACGAGCAACGGGCCGCAAAGCGAAGTCATCAACAACAACAACAACAACAACAATCAACACAATTCACACCAATCAGGCGCTACCGGACCTGGATCAGGACTATTGCCTAGCTCTGCTCCAGCGACGCCGCCAACGCCGCCCGTGGACGCCAGCCAAGCGACAGCCGCTGGTTCCGCAATTAATTTGAATCAGCCCGCAACCCAGGCGCGTACGAACTACGGCAATTCCGTAAAATCACCACCGGAAACAGGCAGCGCGCAGCCATCAGCAGCTGCTGCCACCTGCAAAACTCACGACAGCAGCAGCAGCAACAACAACTGCAACAACAACAACAGCGCAACTGCTGCCGCTGTGGCCGCTGCCGCCGCTGCTGCCGCCGCTGTCAACATGCCGATCGGCGGCGTGCAGGGACAGAATCCCACCCAGGGCCTGGTCCATTGGATGAGCGCCGTGATGGCCGAGCACATGACCGGACAGACGCATCACGATCCCGGCGCTGCCGTTGGCATGCACTACATGTGGAATGGGAATGTCGATGTGAGTATCCGAATCCCAACTCCCCTCCTTCTTAGTCTTACTGGGGATGGCGTTTGAGCACTGTTTGTCAGCTGCGGCAAAAAAACCTATACATTTTTTAAGTTTTCACAGGCTTTTTTTTTACTTTTTGGCTTACGCGAACTTTGCCCAAAGTTGGCCGCTCAATTCTGCACTTGGCAGCTGATGTGGCCGCTGACTGGTGCCTACGAAAGGCGCTCGACTATGTCGGCGTTAAATGTGGGCGGCTTGGAGGAGCTTGAAAGTATCCAAAGGAAGTGCTCATAATTAATATGACCTGGAACTTGTCGCACTGAGTAAATTAAATGAGCGCAGCTTTAAAAGGACAAGCAGAGCAGCTAGCAATGGGATAGTTGGGTTGTTATTGCAGAGTGTGTTAATTGACCAGTTAAAAAAAAATACCCCCTTAGAAGGCGAGAAAATTCGATTTAATTCAAATTCTAGTTTCGCCAATTATCGGGTTAAAAATATGTCAGCCGATAGAAGTTAACTTAGGGGCATGTTTTTCCAGAATAATTCAATAGAGCTCAACTTTTAAAACGTTTCATGTTTCATCAGTTCAAGCAAAGACCAGTTATCCTAGCGACCCGCTCATTCAGGCGACTGCGCAACAAGGATCCGCTTACAATTCGAACAGCCTTTGGCTTTAGTTAAAATTTGTCTCAGCCAAAGCTAGTCCTATTTCAAAGCTTACTTGCAAGTTTATAATTATGTTCAATACTAAAAATAAGCATGGCTGCTTAGCTAAAATAACTACAGTTTGAATCATCTACGGTTTGAATCAATGCCCTGCCTTTCAGTTCGATTCCGTGAACCTCGTTTTACAGCACTGGTTCCACTAAACATTAAATTTTCATGCATTTAAAACTTAAGCTCAATTGAGAGTACAACAAGCAAGCTCTTGCTGTTGATTGTATACAAACTCGATTATCCAACATTTCATTCAAATGTTGCAAGTCGCCTTATCAATTTGCAGTGTTGCAAGTCGAAGGCCTGGGCAAAGCTCTGTTACAAATGCAAGTACCTTTACAGGGCAGCGTACAGCAGCGCGCAGCTTCAGGTCAGCTCATTACCGCGACACCCCCAAACCCTCTGCTGGCAACACCTCAGCTGCCCCAATCCTCCGTCGAGCCCCCGTCAAGTCCACTAAGCTCGTTTGGGCAGCCGTTGCCAAACCCACTGCACTTTCACTCGACAAACTTCGGCCGGCAACTGACCAAACCCAAACCGTTGCTGTCTGTTGCCACACGAACGAGCGGGAGAGGTAGAGCCTGTCGCAGTTCCCCCTCCCATGGCCAGTTCCAGTCCTAAGTTCAGCTAACCAAGTGCGCTGTCCCCTGCTCTGCTGGGCAAGCAGACGCGACGCAAAAAAAATAGCGTGTCCTTTGAGCAGCATCCTCCAGTTTTTGCTGTTCCTTTTTTCCCCGCAACACACAACTTTTTCTCGTACCTTTTCTGCTGCTCCTTTTATGAATATCCTTGCTCTTGACTGCGTTTGGCTTCGCGTGCCACGCAGCAAAAAAAAGTTCTTCGAGTTTTTTCTGTTTTTCTTTTTTGTTGCATTTTTCGCATGTTTCCTTTTTTTCGTTTTTCAAGATGTAAACAAGTTTTTCTTTACGCGACGCGTTAAACTTTGCTTGTGTTTTTTTTTTTCGTAGCCTTCTTGTTTTGATTTTCATTTCTTTTTTTTTTTGGTCTGCACTGAGTCGAGTTCTTTGCATTGGCTCGCTTTTCACTTTTTTGTGCGTTGAAATTATTGTTTTGAATGGAGATTGATTGTCTCCAAGGACAACGACGGGTCGAGCGTGTCTGCAGCTGGAAAAGGTCTCCCCCACGTCCCATCCACATCCCACAATGAAAATCATTTGTTATCGCGTGCTTTGCCCCTGCAAAGAAAGCAATTTAGAACTCGACGCGACGACCCTGTCGAATGGTTTTTAAAGGATATCCGAAGTTAATTAATTTTTTAAAGTTCAACTATGAACGAGCGGAGCTTAAAATCAACAATCAACGAGGCAAAATCTTGGACTTGATGTTGTCACTTGCATTATTTAATTTAGTTAGCTGTTGACTAAAAAACACAGAGCAACAACGAGAGAGAGAGAGAGACAGAGAGAGAGAGAGAGAGAGAGGGAAAGAGGAAGAGAGAGAGAGAGAGGTAGGACAGAGGAGGGCGAGTGTGAGAGAGGGGGCAATGCAGAGTTTACTAATTAAGTTTGAAGGGAATTGCACTTAATTTAGCTAAGTTGACAAGTAACCCAACTTGAAATTGATTCCGACTTGATTTCTGCAAAATGTTTGATGGAAAACTTAAAACAAATGAAGAAATGAAAATGTACTACATTTAAATAAATACATATGTACATATATTATAATTGTGTAAAATGTGTGTTTGAGTAATAAGAGTTTTATTGAACGTGCGAAGAATGTAGGGTAGAGTACTCTGAGTATATAAAATAGAATATAGAATATCGTATGAGCTTAAAGAGCAAGAAATCATAAAGTAAAGATAATAAATAAGAAATTCACTTTATATACGTACTTTTACTGGAACACAAAAATTCCTCTTCATTGAAAATTCTTCAGTTTTGTATCACGCTGGTACATCTAGTACTTTGTAAGGGTTTCTATAGGTCATATTAGCTGCTAGTCAGCTGTAAATTATCTTATCCATTTACTCATCACAAGCTTGACAGTGTTGAGCAACGGGGGAGAGTCCCTTTTAGAGCAAAGTTGATTGAAGACGGACGCAGGGTATTGTGAAATAAGGAAAGACGCATGCACATATAAAAATAAAAGACTAATACTGTTTTTGTATATTTATTGTGTGCGTATCAATTTTAAAGATATTATCTTCACCATTTTTGAATATTAATTTTAAAATATTATGGGAGTACACAGCAACAATATATACTTTAATTGTAAAGGTAATAAATTGGAATGGATAAATATTAAGCTCAATAGTATTTTATTTAAAAAAAAATTAGAATATAGGGTGCGGCTTAATCTTTTTTAAAAGGCTATCAAGTGACCATATTCCTTAGTAGAGTTGCAGTAATAATATATTGAGCCTGTTTTATATAAAGAATCCATAAAATAACCAATAAAATTTGTAGATAAACTTAATATAATAAACAGCTATCTTCCAGCTTGAATACACCAACGGAAAATATTCGAAAATTCCGCAAACAATTGTTGATAACCTTTCATGCCTATACATATATAATAAATGTAGATGGTTGACTTTAAACAATGTAAAACATTAGTTAAATTGCTAGCTATTTCATTTTAAGATTCCAATTAAAAAGCCATTGAGGCTTGTTGTTCCAATGTGCAGCCAACAGTGGCAGGCGTCCAGAGGAAAGACCCTAAACCACAACACGCCTCACAACAAAGCATTGCAATTAATACTTATATACTTCAATTAGAAAAAAGTCAACGTGACGCTAAAGTGAAAAGCGAAGGAAAAAAATAAAAATAAAAATATACTAAAGTAGAAAAAGAGCAGGAAAAGTGAAAATTGAAAGGGCAAGCGGGGCAAAAGCGCAACATGGTATGAGGCTAAAACTGGACTGAAACTGACTAATGGGGCCAGTTGTCAGGGCTGATACAATACGAATTCGAAACGCCAATGGCCAGTGGGTGTGCCCAACTCCTACGCTGTTAGGGCGCCGAAAAAAAGGACTGCAAAAACCGCGAAAACCGCTGGCAACTTCAATTTTTAAAGTAATTGCAATAAAGTTGAACAAATTTGTGCACAGCAACAATAGCTACGAAATTCTAACCTCAGGCGGCAGTAAAGGGGTGTTGTATGGGGAAGGGAAGGAATAGTCAAACATTTGAACATTGAACAATACAAAAAATGTTTTTTTTTCCTAGCCGACGCTGAATGCGAAAAAAATCAATAGAACCAGACAGCAGCGGCATGAATAAAAAGATGACGGCAAAAGAAGAAGTTAAATAGAACCAAAATGCAAAAAAAAGTTCAAAAAAAAAAATTTTTAAATTTCCCAAAATCATAAAAAAAGGCTACAGCAAACAAAATGTTGAAGCTGGAGTCTGGAATGGCCAAAAAGGTTTGCTACAATGTGCAAAACGCGTTTCGTCCGGAGGTTGTCGGAGCTGCAATTGCGAAAAAATTCACGTTTTCCGCCTAATTTTTTTGCAATTTCTTTTTTGTGTTTTCTGTCCTTTTTTTTTATTTTACTAGACAGCGTACTGGACATAGAAACTGCACCACCCAGCGGTCAAAGCGCTGCCAGAGTGTGAGTCGACGCTGCGGTCGGCGTCGCTGCCGCTGCGAAGGGGTTAAAAAAAATTTTGTTTTGATTTTTTTCCACTAGCAAAAAAAAATCATGAAGAGCTTTTCCCTGCTCTTTCAAATGTTTTGGCGCTGGTCAGCGGAAGAGAGAGAGAGAGCGAGAGAGAGAAAAGAGGCGATAGCCCGCGGTGGTTAGAGCAAGACAGCAAATGGCGCGCGCTGCTGCTGCGCTGTACCAATATTACAAATTTTTTTTGCCACTTTTCTTTGAGAATTTTTTTTTTGAAATTTCGTTTTGTTCCATTTTGCTGCGTGCTGCTGCTGCAAGCCGAACGCAGCGTCGGCGGCTGGCCGGAAGCTGGCGTGGGTCATGCGACGCCTTCATCTACAACTTGCTGTTGTTCTTGTTGTTGTTGTTGTTGCTGCTGCTGTTGTTGTTGTTGTTGTTGTTGTTGCTGTCGTTGGCTGGCTGGCGTGTTGGTTAGAGAGCACTTCCGTTCATGTGCCGGGCGCTGGAGCTGGCTCTGGTTCTGGTCATCTTCATCAGCAGCTGCCAACGCAGCACTGCAAGTTCGCTGTGCGTGTTTAAGAGTGTGCGTGTGTGTGTGTGTAGCTGTGTTTGCATTTTTTGTAGATATTTCTTCTACTTTTTCGTTTGTCCACCTACTAACTAGTCGTTGCTGCACACACACGCACACCCACACATTCACAGCCCACAACTCGCTTTCCAACACTGCTGCAGAGTTTGGGTGCTGTGCAACCAACAAAAACTAGCGTTACGTGGTTTACACACACACACCCACAAACACACACGCTGCTGCGTTTTCACACGCCGTGGCAACTCCCCTTTCGCTATGCAACACTTTTTTCTTCCACTTTTTCTTCACCCTTTTTGTTGGCAGCAGCGAAAGCCGCCGCATTTTTGCCGCTCGCCAACGCCGACGCTTTGACACCTTCGATTGTGTGTAACGCGGTTTTCTATTTCAATTGACACCCCCCCCCCCCCCCCCCCCCCCCCAATACATATATATAAATAACTGCCCATATAACTCCTATTTTTTCGCTATTGTCACTTCGATATTATTCGCCAGCGGTTTCAAATTGTGACAAGTCCAAAGATATGTTTATTTCTGTAAATTTTAGTTTTTTTCTATAAATATTTATTATTTTGAAAACTCATATTACCTCTAGATAAATGGGCAAATATTGTTCAAGTGAGTCTTTAAAAAAATATGGAATTTTAATTGATTTTAGTTCAAGTGAAATTTTTGTTGAATATTTCATTAATGGAATTCTTTATCTACTTTCAATTGTGTAAAATTATTCCATTTTAGTATGAATATAAAAATGCTATTTAAATATAAAGAATTTCAAAAAATGGTATAGTCAAGAATAAAACTAGAAAGTGAATTTGAGTAGGAACAAATAAATAAATAAATCTGTCTGAAAATATATGAAAATGTGGGAATTTTTCTTTTATTTTCGATTTTCAATCTCTATTAGGTTAAGGTAGATTTTGTAAGGCCTGTTTAGGTTAAACTTTACTTTATACCGGATTGTTATTAAGATACAACAAATAAAAAGGAAAATAGCATAATTATCGTACATTAAAATAAATAGAATTAAATAATTCAAACAATTAAAGTACATTTAAATTTTTTTTTAAATTTAATAGATATTTTAGATTGATATTCTTTTGAATTTTTCTTTCTAAGGCATTTACTTTTAAAGGACAAAATTCTGCCAGAATAATTAATAATACTTAATCTTATTTATAATAAACTAATTGCTCATCTTTTTGTTCTTATTCTATTTTAAATTTTATGACTAAATTTAATGACTAAATTTCATGCAGCATGCCAAGGATATTAGCGATTACAATCTTTGGCCACCGACGCCGCGCAGCCATCAGCATGCCAGCGAGCATCATCCGATGTCCCTGAAACAGGAATACGAGGTAAGTGGTGCAAGTGGTTTAAGTGGCATAAGCAAGTGCCGTTAAATGTCCATAGATTGTTGGCATTACTCTATGCCACATGCATAAAAACGATACCCACAGCAGCAGCAGCAGCAACAACAACGACAACAACAGCCAAAGTCAAACAAAAAAATTTCTAAAATTCGCGCGACTCGTCGTTTGCTTCTGGATTTGTTGTTTTTATTTAGACCCCACCATATCAGCCAGGGTTAGGTTCGTTGCTGTGTGCTATATTGTATACAAATAACTGTATTTGCTTGTTGTTGTAGTTGTTGCTCTGGATTTTCTTGTTGCATTTTCCTGGCATTTTGTTCTGGTTTTTTACCTTTTGTCTTTTTTGGCTGTTTTTTCTAAACATATCGAATATGTTTAGGCAATAGCAGACGCGGTTTTTATTTAGAGAGCATTTTTTTACGATGGTGTTTTAAAATATACTTCATTTTATTTGCCCTGTCGTAGGTCATGGCTGGCACAGAGACAGTGAGCGAGAGAGGGAGAAGAAGAGGGAAGGAGAGAGGGCGAGTGAGAGTGAGAGCTAGTCTCGAGGCTTTTAACCCATATTCACAATCGAGAGCAGAAGCCGCAGCTAAATTTTTCTATTTCTATTTCTATTTTTATGTGATTTTTGCCTCACTTTTTTCGCACTATTTTTATTTATATTTTCTCGTTTTGATTATGTTTTGTTTTCAACGCGAATTTTTGTCACGCATTCAATTTGAATTTTGTGGCGATTGTCAGATATTTGTCTGGGTCTTTGTTGGCCATAAATCGTTTTGACAACCACATTGAAAACATTTGCCCAACAATATTTTGGCTTAGATATTCATGTTTTTGTTTTTTTGTATGGCATTCATTTCATTTGATGTTGCTTTTGATTGTTGACCTTTTCAATTCGTTTATATTTCAATTTTGGCTTTTTATGCGCAATCATTAGAAATTTATTTTATTATTTTGACAGTTGCATTTTATTGGCTTTCAATGAAACCAACTATTATTTAATAATGATTAAAAAATAATTGTTCATTGATTTTATAAAACAACTGCTTGCTTAAAAGTCAGCTAAATTATAGGTTTTTGAGTGGTTCTCTAAATTGAAGTTTTGCAGTCAAGAATGAAATAAATGTTTTTTACTTTTTGTTAAATTTAATTTGGAGGAGCATCGAGGAGTTTGATGTTTGATGTTGACAATTTAGCTTTTAATGCAGTGGAATACATTTAATTGCGATAGTTAATTATACATTTCTTAAGTAATTTTTAAAGCTCTAATGCGGCTTCCTGTTGAAAAGAAGATTGTTTAGTTTAGAGTTAAAGATTCAAGACCAAACATAGCTACTCTCTATATAAAGATCTCTACAAATGTCAATATTAGTCGCATTTAAACAACTACTTATTAAGACACTCAGGAGCTTTATGTACCAAGAGGTTGGTTTTCTATTTTTTATAAATTTACTCTGCTTTTATATCTGCCAACTCTTCAATGCCATCTGATTTTCTTTACTTTTCAGGCCAAAATGAATGATCACCACCATCACACTAATCTGCAAAAAGGTGAGTTGAGATAGCAAACCGTATCGAAAATGAACTGTGCCCCCCTCCACGCCGCTACTCTGGCCCCATGCAATGACCTGCCCCAAAACTGGAATAGCTGACCCAGGCAACTAAGGCTACTAGTTGATTAGTTCATGGCTCCGCTGCTTAATTAATTGCTCACAAAAACAACAAACGATAATCACGAATCTCGAGCAGATATGTGGTTTCATGGAGAGCGCGCGCGACTTCAGATTGCAATCTGAAACGAAAAATGCATACGTTGCATATAAAAGTTAAATTGCAACACGCGTGCGGCATGATGATAGCGAAGACAAAGGCGAGCGGACAATGTGGCCCCATTCAGCAAAGGACAGATACACCCCAGATACTCCCACGAAAAATTGACCTTTAACTGAAAGAACGGCAGCAGCAATAACAAGAACAACAACAACAATTGGCAACAAGATGCTTACAACATGTTTACATAAATTCCTAAAATGCAAACAACATCTTTGTGCACAGCAACAACAACAATAGCAATAAGAACAGCAGCAGCAACGGCGGCAACATTGACAGCAACACGCTCCAAAAGGGTTTTCGGTAAACGGGTTCGATATCGGGTTAGTAGCTCCGTTGGCGGCAATGATCTCGACCCGATAATGTCAACGCTAGGCAATTGGCCAATAACATTGTTGTTGCTGTTGCTGCCGTTGATGTTGCTGCTGCTGCGATAAGCATCAGCAGCAACATTGCGGGCAACAATGTAGATGTAGATGTATCTATGCGATTCATTGGCTTTTACTTGTACGCCTGTTGGCTTTTACCTGTACAAATTAACAATACGGACGGCTTCAACTATGTTGGCCATGACTGGACTAAGACTTTGCCTGACTGCAACTAGCATGTAGTAGCTCATATTGCTGCACCCAAAAAAACTAAAATAAAACAAGTAAGAGGTTCTAGTCGGGAGCTCCCGACTAGGGGATACCCTGAACCCTCTTCTTCCAATATCAAATGCATATATATATTCTATTTTAGAAGCTATATGTCAAGTTTGTTGACTCTGGCTCTTATTATTTACCAAAATTGCACAAAAAACAGGATATCAATATCGATTCTTATCGGTTCCTTGGAAACGGAGTAAGTTATCGATTATCGGAAACAAACTCGATCTGCGCGGAACCTAGGAGCATCTACATCTAAAATTTCAAGTCTCTAGCTCTTATAGGTTCTGAGATCCTTGCGTTCATACATACGGACGGACGGACGGACGGACAGACGGACGGACGGACGGACAGACGGACGGACATGGCTAGATCGACTCGGCTATTGGTGCTGATCAAGAATATATATATAGTTTATGGGGTCGGAGATGCTTCCTTCTGCCTGTTACATACATTTGGATTTTGCACAAATACAATATACCCTTATACCCATTTTTAATGGGTTCAGGGTATAAAAATCCAACCCAAATATTATTATTCAGTAATGGGATACATGTTTTAATTATTAAGCATTTTATAGGCTTAATAAAAGAGCTTAAGTGTATTAAAAACAATGTGTATTCAGTTCCAATCATTGGAACATCTAACATATTCATTTTTATATCAGATATGCTAGATGTGCGTTCATGGTAGAAATCAAATGTAGCCCTCAACTTATATATGAAAATATGCAAGACATGCAGTATTTTCAGTAGAGCGGACAGTAAAAAAAATGTTGAAATTGTGTGACAAAGCTAACTTTGAGCCAATACAGCCCAGGATTTGGAGTCAGGTTTACAAACTGAACCCCAGACCAGGTAGTTGGTTCTTAGTTAAGACTTAATCAAACTGAAACAAATTATAGATAGTATATTATTGTTAAACTCCACTCCACTCCTGCCAAGCAACATTTTAAACGGATTCGATTAGATTTGTGGCAAGGAGCTCATCCAAAATAGTTATAATTAGAGCAAACTTAGCTGAACATTTTTACTTTTAAGAAGGGTTCTTCAATGAAGTCCATATTTCAATCTCAGTTTTGATTATATATCTTCACAAAATTAATATCTCTGATTTTCTTTGAGTGTATCTGTTGGTCTGGCTGTTGCTTGTGCCCGTTCATTCAGTTTGGACAACTTTGCGGAGCTGGCGCCATTCACCCGCCTGTAATTAACACTAAAAATGTTGAACAACTTGAGTAGCCTTTGCTACCAATTTGGTGGCAACAATTGTCTGCAAATGTTTTATTAGAAATGCTTTCGACATGCCAACGGGGCGCGTCGACTGCCTCAGCTGCCGCAGCCGCCTCGGCTGACCCAACTGTAGCAGTCGGTAATCCTCTCCAGACTGGCCAGACTCAGCATTTTAGCTCATCAACAGATTCACACAATTTTTGCACGCAAATGCGCCAGGCACTCAATTATAGAAAGATGGATGGGTTAGATGGATAAATGGAACCCAGGCATAAAAAATATTTGAAAAAATATAAAAATTGTGAAACTATTTTCACATAAACTGGAACTCAGCTCGCGCGCGATTTCCCAGTGGCAATCAGAGCGGCCAAGTTTAATTAGAGAAGCCAGCGAACGTCGCGGTGCAGGAACATGGGCGGAGGGGTAAGTGGCACGCTGCTGGCCAGGTGGCAGGTGGCAGGTTGCAGTTGGCAGGCTGGCGGCAACGTGATGTGAGTGAACGTCGGCAACTTCAACAGAGACGCGCGGCATGACTTGTACCCGACTCAATTCGACTCGTTTCGACTGACAGCCGTGGCAACATTAGATGGCGCCACGGCTGACACAATTCAACAGCAACTGAAGCAAACAACTCAATTGCAGGTCACTTTCTGGATGACAACCGTCTGGAGCATCATGCGGCGGTCGCCGGACAAGGTAAGTCCTAAAACCGCAAGTCAAAGTTTTACCTTTTAAGGTCCTGCAACACTTGTCAACAAGTTTTCTAATGCTTTTCATGTTTTTTACTCTTGTTAAGGACTTAAAAGAGAAACTAAGAAACATAAATGATGAGAAAGCTTTGAAAAGTCTAGTCTAAATTCAGAAAGTTTTGGATGTTATTTAAGTTCAAACTAAAACTAAGTTTATCTTAACATGCACATATAACTAGATAGAAAACCTCGGAGATACTCCGTTCTGTACAAAATTTGTTTTAAATATGTATATATTTTACACATAAAATCATTTTTTTCATATCTAGTAATATGAGAGAGACAGATTTGTATATATAGAGAATAAAATGAGTGAGGCATAAGAGATAGTGAGAGAATGGGAAGGAGCGAGAGAGAGCATTAGAATAATTAGATTTTCAATGCAACTTATTCAACACTTAAGATCAAAGCATGAAAATCTGTATACGTTACTTGAATTCTTGAGAATCACAAGGTAAGGCAATATTGAAAAATACTTTTTTAGTTCTGAGAAACTGAAATTATCTTCTTTTGCGCATGGTATAAGAGAGTCTTAAATATTCGTGCAAAGGAATTGCTAATTTAACATCGTTTTTGAGATCATACAATGCGTATATAGCCCGGCCTTGCCCGAACTAAAGTTAGCATCGACAATTTTACTCAAAGTTAAGTTAAATACAAATTATAATAGCAATTTAAAAAACTCATTGAATGGGATGAAAATTTCTATATTTTTAAAGCATTCTCTCTAATTTTAAATTTTCATTTTTATCTTAACTGATAGTTTATTTAATTTTCAATTATAATTATCTAATCAATTTTCTCAACAGGCAGCCTGGGACTTGGTAGCGCCGTCAATGGCTCTGGCCCTGGCCCTGGCGGTGGCAACTCTGGCCTCGGCGGCGGCTCGCATCATGGCAACCATGCCTCCGCCGCCGCTGCGGCTGCAGCGCATCATCACAACAATGCAGTGGCAGCTGCATCAGCGGCCGCGCTGCTCGTCGTCCCTCAGCCGATTAATGCCAGCAAAATGGGCGGTCCCGGTGTGGGCGCTGGCGGTGGACATGCCCCCGCCGGCGGCAGTGGACGCAAGTATCAATGCAAAATGTGCCCGCAGGTAAGTGAAGCCCCTTTGTTCCCGCTGCTATTTGCATTGCACTTAACTGTTAAGTTAACTGTTAAGTTAAAGCTATAAGGCTTATCAATATTTTGGCCGACGGCCTTGCGTAAATTGGCCGTGCAGCAAAGTGTTGACAACAGCTCGGGACAACGATATGACAACCTTTGTTTACAATTTTCCAGTTCATTTGTTTGCAACAAAGTTTCGAATTTCATTCGACCCGTCTCGGTTTCTTGCCCCTCGCGCCGTGCGCTGTGCTCTGCGCCCTGTGCCCTGTTTCCATATCAAGTGCAGTTTTTCCCACATTTCATTCAACTTCAGTTTTTGGCGGCTAACGCACTCGGCCAGAAACAGAGCTGGACAGAAATGGTGTAAATGACACTCAAGCTGCGGCCAACAGATGCTGCAGCTGCTCATAAAATGTCAAATATGCATCGACAAGTATGCTTGTGTGTTTGTGAGAGAGAGTACATACATGTGTGCATGTGTGTCTGTAATCGTCAGTGTGTTAATTGCAGCTAATTGAGCTTATTGTTTTTAACGGTTTCGCTTTTTTCCCATTTTTTTGGTTGACCAGTGGCAGGTGGTGGTTTTCGCCAGATTTTCGGAGCGTTAAGCTAGTGATATGCGTGGGACATATTACCGGGTGGGCTCTTAAAGAGAGAGTTTCTTGGAAGCTTAAAAGTTCTTTAAGCTGAAAACCTGCAAATGTCGTTTCATCCGAATATGCTTACTTTATGCTTAGTTTACATTATTACATTGCACATGTCAATAAAAAATCAATTAAATAAGCTGTTCATACAACAGACATTCAGTTGCTTGCCATGCTTGATATGCGAAGAGTTTTAAAGTTGTATAGTAAGGTATCGTATTGCATAGTGGTTTACTGGTACAGATCCCCATATTTCTAATAGGTGACATTAGATATTATGAAAAACAAATGACTTTACTCAGAAAACAAGAATCTAATATTTTCAATTGAATGCTTACAATTCTAATATGAAACAAGTAAATAAAAATATGTTGTGGAAAGATTATATTATACGCACATTTTCGGGTATTTTGCGCGAACCTACAGAGTTTATAATTTAGTCAGCTTTATTGAGCTTCTCGTTAAGGCTAGCATTTAAATAGCACTAAAATATCAAGTGCATTAGTAAAACAAAAACAGAAATCTTTTGTATTTAATAAATCAAATAAGCTCAAGGGCAATTAAAAAAAAACACAAACATTAAAAAACTGTTAAGAATTTATACAATATGCTGCTTATACGTGAGTGTGTGTGTTTGTTTTTTTGCTTGTTAAAAAGATCGAACAAATGAAAGTAAATTGAACAACGCCCCGAGAGAAAAGCAAAAAATAATATGTATGTAGGAATAGCAAAAATTGTTGTAATTGTTGTTGGTGTTATGTATATTTTTGGGCAACAGCCGCAGCAAGAACGGCAACGAAAATTTGTTGTCCATTGGACGAATGATATGTCGGCCAGATATGCCACACCCAGAACGCCCACAAATTGTGGTGCGGAGCTAACAGCTTTTGCAGCGTGCGCTGATGAGCGACAGTGTATGTACGTTTGCTAGTAAGTGTGTGTGTGTATGTGTGTGTGTGTGTGTGTGTGTGTGTGTGTGTGTGTGTGTGTGTGTGTGTGTGTGTGTGTGTGTGTGTGTGTGTAGGCGACTGATGATGTTGATGACGCTGCTGAAAAGCCAGCAACAATAACAACAGTAACGGCAACAGCAACAGGGGCGAGGAGGTGTTCATTTGTGCGAGGCGAAGTGAAATAGCAGCATGCCTAAAAGTATGCTGTGAACATTTTTTTGTAGCAGCCGCTGCGTGCGAGTGAATTCACAGTTCTGCGAGTGTATGTACGGGTGTGTGTGTGTGCGTGTGTGTATGTCAAATTCATGTTTCTTTTTGTAGCTCACACGCATGCATATAAATTTATGAGTGTGTGCGTGTGTGTGAGCTGCACTACTGAAAATTAGTGCGTTTCTACGCTCAAAAGCGTCTGCTGGTCTGTTGCTACGTTTTTAATTACCCACACTTGGCATTTTTTTACGGCGCTGCTTTGGCAGTCTCCTTGTTGTCCTTGTTGTTGTTGTTGCTGTTGTTGCCAATGCAGCTAAAGCTTCAATTGGAATTACTTCACTTGGCACTCGCATCTGCGTTGTAGCAGCAGCAGCAGCAGCAAAAACTTTTTGTCTTCTTTAATGCCTTTGACTGGCCACATCTACGTATCCATATAGTATAGCATGTGCACGGGTGACTGTTTGCGTGTGTGTGTATGTGTCAGGTACAGCTGCAGTCAGCCTATCATGTTAGTGTGCGCTGGCCTGCTTTCTCGTTTTTTTTTTTTTGGCTCTGCTTTTTAACTCTGAAAAAGGAGGGGCAAGTGTTACTTTTGCAATTTTGTTGTTTTTGGCCAAAAAATTATGTGCTAGAGTATGGGCAGGTAGTAGATGGTATACTTATATGCTTCTCGCTTTATGACGTTATTAAATTATGCTGTGTGAAATCAGTGCAATTATGTTGATGCGATTTTAATTCAATAATGCAGCTGCAAAAACATGAAATTCTAAGCTAATTACTTCTATATGAGTGATGCTGTCTTTGCCTTTGACAAATATGCAACACGATTAATATATTTGTAAAAAAGTTTTATGCAAATGTAAACCGAACTTATCTGCATCAAGATATTAGTTTAATTTAAAATTTAGGATTAGCGATAAAATGTTTTTAAGGCTCATACATTACTTAAGCAAAAATCTCAATATATATAAATTTTTGTGCCTGAAAAATATTCAATATTAAAAAAAAAAGACGCGTAGCTGCGCCCACTAGCCAAAAAAAGGCTCTGCTTACATAAAATTACATAAAAAGAATGAACGGAAGTGCGCACACAAGTATGCACATTTTTTGCACTGCGTTTATTATTAGCGCACGCATAACATGTGGATGCATGTGTGTGCTGCATTAAATTGCTGCTGCCTTTTAGGCGCCTACCCCCAACCCAATGCACCTCTACCCGCGTTATGCCCCTTTTATTATTTTTCACAGCAATTTTTTAGTTACATTTGCGTTTATTTTTTGTTTTTTTTTGGTTTTATGCATTCAGTCAACTTGCTCAGCTGCCCAGCTACATGCTATGCACTAACACAATTACACACGCACAGAAAAGCCACTGAAGCACTGGCCATGCCGCATGTGCAGCCCGAAGAGTGTGATGAACGGCGGTTTGTCGGGTGCTGCTCAAATAGCTCACACTATCAATTAGTAAAATTACATGCGAAAAACGAGCACAAAATGTTGTGCCACGTTAGGCAAAAAACAAAAAAAAAATAGAAAAAATTATAAACTGCATAAAAAAAGTTTAGCGCACACTCATGCCGCACACACGCATGTGTACTTGTTGTCTGTAATTCCCCTCATTTAATTAACAATAAAAATAGGCTAAAAAGTCCAAAAAAAAGTTAAAACTGTAAGCGATTATGCATACATGCCGCACACACGCACACACACTCCCACAAACACGTACATACATTGCGCGCGTGCCATTTGTTAAACAATTTTAACACGCGCCCCCAAGTAGGCAACGTTTTTGCCAAACTGCGCGGCTTACACTACGCACAGACACACACACACTCAGGCACACAGGCATGCCGAGCGCCAGGCATTAACATTTTATCCAATATAATGCATGAAATATGTAAACTATTTTTGTATTTATTTTTATTGTTGTTGTTGATTTTTGTTATTTTTATGTTTTTTTTCGCTTTTTGCCATTTTTCCTGTCCCCGTATTGGTGGCCCCTGCGTATTGTCATTGCCCCTGCGTATGCATGTATGCGTGCCCACGTATGTGTGTGTGTCCGTGCGTTTGTGTGGGTAGTGGTCAGCGGCCTTTGGCATTAGCATTTGGTTAATGTTAACGAGTGTCGCCCTCTATCGACCGAAAAAAGTTTACCTCACATGCATTTTTAGTGCGGTTAGCAACAGTACACACAAACGCAGACGCACACACACACACACACACACACACACACACACACACACACACACACACAGAGAACAGACACGCACGCAGGCAAATCTATGACAGCTATCTCGCGTCCACAGCTTTTGCCATCTCTTTCGATTGCAGTCTGTAGCTTGTTTATTTTTAATTTTATTATATGTACATTATTTTTCCAATGCATTGACGTGTGCGACTGTGTGCGTGTGTGTGTCTATTTATGCACTTGACCGTTGCATTAAAGTGCTTTGTTTTGTTTTGCTTGTATTTTGCATTTTTTATGAAATCATTCACTTTTTTCTAGCCTGAACTCTACACTCAGCAAATTGTTTTTAAAACGGCTAGTTTTTTAGTTTTGTTTATTTTTTTATTATTGTATTAACGCTTCGAACAACATATTTATTTACATGGAAGTGTATGCAGTTTATGTTGTGCTTACTGCTTAAAATAATATTAATATTCAACATGCAGCAAAACATTCGAGCGAAATAACAATGTTATATTCTTAGATTTAATCAATTTTGTAAATTCAAAAAAGGTTACACTTTTAGCCGTTTTATTGCTCATAAAGTGATATGTAAAGTTAATTAAATTCGCAAATAATTGATTACTTTTTCTGCTCTAGCAACTTATATTAACAAATAGTCCAAATTCCACTTGAATGAAACACTATAAATATGAATATAAATTTCATGTTAATATAAATAAACCATTTTCCATTTTTTGAAAGGTACTTTAAATTCTGCTCGTGGGCCTTGGAAGATTGCCATAAAAACAGATTTTTTAATCTTCCAATCTTTTAAAATTCTCAAGTTTGGCCTTTCTTCACGTCTCTTTATATTATATATATATTGAAAAATTAATCAATTGATTGTTGCAAAATCCTTTAGCATTTTATTGAAAAGCCACAAGATTTATAACCCAAATTAAATAGTTTTTTCTTCACGAAAAATGCCAAGTCTCATTGTATAAAATAAAAAGAATTAGTAGGAATTTTTGACAAGTATTCACTGTTCCACATTTTCCTGGACACCTTATTATTCCAAGTGCGGTTTACTTTAGGTTTCAACGAGTTTTTTTTCTGCAGGCGCTGTTTATATGCACATATATAAAACACACTCATTTCTGTAAAACCAGCTGTGGTGTTATAAGGTTAATGATAAGCGCATTGTTCTCAAATCACAATTAACCAAAACAAGCTAATAGTCTATGGATATATTAACTAGCTCTTGGAAAATTATAAAATTACAAGGCTAACGGCTATTGGCTACTATATTCCATCAATTTGTCAGATTGTTAACTAACTTGCATATAGAGCCCGCCTCAGTCAGCGAGATTAACCTATTGAAGAGAAACGGACTTCTATAAAATAAAACAGAGAAAGACTTCGTGACTTCGAGAGTAACCTACCATCGATCTAAAATAGGTTTTCACGGATTGCCAGCTTGGTGAATGGTAATTTTCACGTTTCCACTCTTCATCATCCAGCGAACAAGCTGGCAGCAGCGGCTCCACCTCAAGGAATTGAGCCCAGAAGCCGGGCGATTGGAGCAGCAAAACGCGCAGCACCTGCTGCCAGAGCACAATGTTACTCAGATTCAGATCGACATCGTCGAAGAGTGTTGGGGCAAATATGACGGCAATATTATTAATAGACATCTTTACGGCTGGGCTCTGGGCAATGCGCTGCCAGTGCAGCATGAGAAAGGCCAGTGTGTCACGATGTGATTGTGGCAGATCCACCATGGCCAGATACAATGGCTCCTCAGCAGCCAGCGGATCGGTCTGTTGTGTAGCCAGCACAAAGTCGCGTCTGTGGTACATGGGTATCAGGGGGCGTTCCAGCGAGCGCAGAAACTCCTTCACACAACAGCATAGCGTGTGCGTGTCCTTATCGCCCAGATGTGGCGTTGCCTTGCCACGCAGCAGCTTGTGTCGCAAACGCTTGACCTTCTCCCTGGTGGAGGAGACGCGATACAGACCCTCCTGCTCCAGGCCGCGCCCCTCAATTTCTGTCACACAGTGGACTATCAGGGCAGGCACCAAGGGAGCCGCACGTGGCACAAAGTCGCTCAAGTGGCCGCGCTTCGTGCTGACCAGAGGCTGTGGTATGCAGTTAACCGTGAGCTGGCTGCAGCAGTCCGTGTGGCAGCGCAGCGGACAGTCGCGGCACCTCAAACTGGCCACCGCAAAGCGTATGCTGCAAGAAGCCGGAGCATGCAACACACTTACAGATATTCAAGCTGTGGCACCCACTCACCGTTTGTTGCACTGCACACAATTGCCCACATTGGAGTAGTAGACCTTCAGCTTGAAGTTGTGCTGGCGCAGCAACAGCTGCGGCGACTGTGGATAGGCGGATGCGTAGAAATCGTCACGTTGCAAGGATAGCTCATCGCTGCCATTGGGATTCATGTGAATGCGCAGACGATCATCCAGCAGCGAGTCCATCGACTGCTCATCGTACATGCGAAACTCTCTGCTCAGATCATTGTATGAATTATATTCGCGGCGCAAACGATCCTTGGTCTGCATTGCAGCGCGTTATGGCAACAACTAACCAAATTGCAATTCTCGCGCACTCAACGATTGGCGTCTGTTTTGCCCAGTTATCGCCAACTTCTGATACTTAACCACATATGTATACCTCGCCCACCCATGTACTCACCAAATCAGCTGTCACTTTTCATTGAGTCAGCTGCCTGGCTGCCAATATTTTTCCAGCAAAAGTTAACTTCGCAGAATGTTTACCTATTGCTTGTCGCCCGACTTCAACAACGATTTCGAGTTGAACGGCTCGTCTCAATAGTCTCTCGCAGTACTGAACCGCACTCAAACAATGACTAAAGAAAAAGTTACAATTCAGAATATAATGGAAACGCAGACGCTTCACTCGATGACAGCTCAGTAAAACTGAAGCTGTTTTTTGATTAGACAACTAAAACGAATTTGTAAGCATCGATGCTGCTACGATATATTGCTCAAAATCATCGTATGACTATTTTGAAAACAATCTTCAAAACATTTACAAGAACATGATCTTTATAACTTGATAAGTCTTTGAGAAATAGGACTAGAATATTTTCAAGGCTTTTTTAGGATTTATCTTTGTGCTCTACCCAGTTTTCTTGTTGCACCCAATGAAATCTTTAAAATGTGTATAATTAATTGATTGTTTTTTTAGGATGCAGCCGATAAATGTAAACATATTTCTAGAAATTAGGTTAAGTGCAACATATTTTGTAGGTATATTATAATGAAAGTCGCTCAATTTTTAGATATTTTCACTTATCGATTAGTATCTGTCGATATTAAACCATTTTTAGGTAGCAATTTTAATCGATTCTTATTTAACTATCGATAAGCGCGATCTTTTATTTTTAAAATTATCAAGAACGATCTCCGATTAATGAAGTGATATAATACTTATGCATTTCCAGTACAATTTAAGGAGAGCTAAACAGTATATTATTAAAGAAAGAGTTACTTACAAATAATAAATTATAAGTAGGTGCTTAATATTACGACCGACTAGGAAAAAAAATCAAAAATAGTCCCAAATTCAATTCATTGAAATATTTTTCAATATAATAAAAATTGCTAATTCTTAATGAACAAAATTAATTTTTAGCTGTGTTTAAAGTAAGCTTGGAATTCATCTCTAAAAGCACTTTGGAAAAACTCTCTTTAAATATTTGTGCGGCACTCGAGAATTCAATGTCACGACGCCGAGAAAAAAACTCTGATGGAATAACAATTTGCGAAAGTATCAATGAATTCTAAGCGCGATGAAAATCGCTCAATGGCCGCGCTATGTGGATGAAAAATTTATGGGGAGAACGTTTTGCGACCGACAAACAAAATACGTAAAAAATTGCAAAATCAAATGAAAAACTAAACACGAAAACAAAAGAAAGCAAAATGAAATTTACGCGAGCACATCTAAAAAGCGAAAAAGTGTGAACTAAGCGTAGCTAAAAAGTAAAAATGTTGAACATTTTTTATTCGATTTTTGATTTTGGAGTCTGACAAATGTGTTGCATACTTGCCGGCGCAGCGTTTTGGCATCAATTTTTGATCGAGCAATGGCCACAGCGCTGGGTGGACAGCAGAGGAGGGGTATGGGTGCGAATAAACGAACAACGCGAGCAAAAGGCGAAAGAATCTGATTTTTATATTTTGTTGCCGTTTTTTAGGCGCCAGCAGCAGCAGCAGCAGCGACAGCATACCTGTGTGTGTGTGTGTGCGCGCGTGTCTGTGTGTGTGTGATTGGCTGGGATGCCTGCTTCTGTATGTGTGTGTGTCTGATGGGAGTCGCATTGAATTCGTAGTTATTAATGCGTATTGAAATGCACATGTACATGCATATATATCTACAAACCTCTTCCTTTCCATGCATGTGTGTATAAGTGGGCCGTGTGTGAGTGAGTTTGAGTGTATGCGTCTGTTTTGTTTGTATTCAAAGTCCACAAACGCCAGTCACGCATCGGCATAAGCCCATGCAAGTAACCATAGCAAATATGCGGGCTTTGCCCCCAAAAACCACCATACTGCCCCACTCCCATCTAACCCCGCCACCAACAAACCTACCTTGCGTATGCGATTGTGTGTGTGTGATTTTGACTGCCCACTGTGTTCGAATACAACAACACAACAAAACAACTAAAAAAATCTCTGTGACATGCAAAAAAGAAACAAAAAATAAAACAAACCAAAGCAAAATGCCAAACGTAGAACGAGCACACACACACACCCACACACTGACCTCACGCACACAATAATAAAACAAGGAAATATTACATCAAAATCCACTGACAGTGTTGCCACGTGGTGTTAATGAATTTTTCACACACACACACAAATGTTGCCACAGTTTTTCTAAAATGTTTTTATCCGACTACAAATGAAAATGTTGCAGCTGATGTTTGATAAGTGCTAGAATATAATCCTTTCAAGGTAAGCCAATTAGAAACAGGAAAAGATGTTACAACTACGTCTACGCAAATTAACAAACTTTCAAAAAAGGATTTAATAATTATATATATATTATATATTCATGAAAATTTGTATTGACCCAACAAATGCGGATCTATGCTAATGTTTTTTATTTAAATTACCTCATCTTAAAATAATTTTGTAACTTTATAATATACCACAAAATTGAAATTAAAAAAAAAAATAATTAGGCGTACACAAATCAATATGTATACTTTTGAAAACTTTTTAAAAATTGTCATTAAAATATTGTTAGTGCATTCTACATATGTACATTTTGGTTGGAATGCAGGCTCAGTTATCCTAGTTAGATTCTGTGATGTGGAACAATTATTTTGATTATTATTATTTTTATTTTTAAATTATTATTACGCTTATTATTACCATTGCGCTAACTTAAAGATCTATTGCCGCCATTTCAAAACTCAACCATTTTTTAACAAGCAATACTTTTCCTAAAATACATTATTGCAATAAGTGCTATACTGAGGCAAATGTATATATACATATAGGTTTGGAAGCATATTTTAAAGAACTCTTCGCTCCTGCCAAAATCCGTTTAAGCTGATAGACCCTATATTTGCTGCTGTGCTCAATAGCCTCAATAGTCTAACCCAATTCTCTAACACTAAAAACGGCAATTTATAATAAATAAATTTTTCAATGGCAACTCTACCGCCGCACAATTTTCCGTGTGACTCAATTGAAAAAAACTTAAAAAAAAAGAAGAAAATAACAAAATCTAAAAGCAAATGCAAATACAAAACACAAAATACAAAATCAAATGCAACAACGTGCAGGAGGGGCGATAAAAGTGGGCAAAAACAAAGCCAAAACAAAACGAAACAGTAAAAAATGCTGTTTTTGAGCGGGTCAGAAGTGCGGCGTGCGAGCGAGATGGCACGAGGAAAAAATTGTTTCCTGTGACAAGGAGGCGGTGGAAAAAAATGTTGAAGGGGAGGCTGCATGGAAAAAATGCACAGCAAATGGAAATGGAAGATGTGAAAAAAAAATAAAAAAAAGGGCAGTGAGAGGGGCAGCAGAGCAGCTGTAGCGTATGAAGTAGAAGTTGAGGCAAGGTTGCAATGTGGCAGCAGCAGCCACCATACCAGCAGGAGGAGGAGGAGGAAAAAAAAACAACTTAGGAATAGCAGCGACCACGACGACGGTGACGGCGACGAGCAGCAGACAAACGACGGCTGCAACGCAGCGGAAGGAGTGCGCTTTGTGGCCTGTCTGTGTAGAGGTGTGTGTTGGCCGGGGGGGTGGAGGGGTGGGGGGTGTACTGAAGTGAGAGCACGGGGATTGCTGCTGGCAGTTAAGCCACGAGATGGCTTAGGTCAGGGCGGAGATTGCCTGAGGTGTGCTCTGCGTAACTGTGTATGTGTGTGTGTGTTTCGAGTTGTGCTTTTATATTTTTTTTTTCCCCTGACGTAATTCGACGCCAGACTGATAGAGTGCTTCAAAATGCCAGCCGCGCCGATTGCCAACACTGCGCCATGTTTTAGCGTGGCCAGCGCTGCACGTGCGTAGCGTCAACCACGCAGCGACAAAAATATTGCCTACTTTAAAGCGCAACATTAAAATTTGTTTAAAATGCTATCGAAATTATAAATGATATACAAATAATTACAATTTTAATCACAATTGTTAGCTGCATAATTAGTTAATTTATGAAGCTGACATTTTTTACATGCCACTCCACATCACCACTCCGCCAAAACCCACAGAAAAAGCCAAAAGAAAAGACAAAAGCAAAACGCAAAGTCAAATTGCAAAGAGCTTTTCAATGCAAACAGAAAAAAGGGATAAAAAACCAGACAGCATCAAAGTCGAACAAAACAAAATGCTGGAAAAAATAGCAGACCATTGGCATGAGTGCGGGGGCGGCAACTGCGTTAGGTGGGGGTTGCGGGCCGGCTGCGAATTTGGGGGAGGCGAAGGCTAACACGACGCTGGCAGCGAAAAAATTCCATGCGTTTGTATGTCTTTATGTGTGTGTGCGCATGCTGCTTTGTGCGCGTGTGTGTCTGTGTGTGTGTGTGCGTGGGCAAAAATTCCCCTTTTTAAATTTTTTACACACACAATACTTTTTTTTTGTATTTTGCGCGTTTTTTAGAGCCCATCGGTTGGCTCCAAACTTGCCCCACACCAAATTGAGTTTGGGTCAATGTTGACGGCGACTGCCTGCCTGCCCGCTCGCCTGTTTGTTGTTGTTGCTGCTGCTCTTGTTGTTGTTATCGTTGTTTTGGCGTTGCTCTGTCAGGTGGCTGCGACGCTGGCAGCGCTGCTGCTGTGGACGGCGCAGCATTTGAATAGCGCCAGCAGCGACGCCGCCTATGCAACCGAATCATTTTTTTTGTTGCTTTTTTCGCTGTGTGAATGAGTGTGTGTATGTGTGCGTGGCATTTTTTTGCCCGTTTAGTTGGTTGCTGTTGTTGTCGCTGCTGCTTTTTTTTGCGAAGTTGCCGTTGCCTGTTTGTGAGAGCGTGTTGGTTGGCGCTTGCCCCTTTGCTGTGTGTGTGTGTGTATGTTGTTATTGTTGTTGTTGTTGTTGCCGCTGTGTCGGCCGGCGGCGGCCTTTAGTAAGCCAGGCCGCCACCCACACACACACAACTACATTATGCTGCTGCTGCGTTTTGGAGCGCAGTTGCGCTTGTGTTAGTGCGCGTTTTGTCTGTCTGGCTGCCACCTCGTGCCTGTCGATGCCGCCGCCGCCGTCGCCGCTGCGTTGCTTTGCATCTCTCTCTTTGTATGTGTGTGCGTGTGTGTGTGTGCACGACCCCCCGAAAATATATTGTTTCAGATTTTTTCATCATCGCTTTAGTTGAGTTTTTACATTGGTGACGGATCGTGCTTTCGGCTCGGCACGCGCGGTGCTGCTTCAACGAAACGACTCTCGACGCTCGACG